GCACTCGGACGAGAGTGGCTTTCGGGAGGCGCCGAGTACTCGTACTCGTACGAGGGCACCTCCGCCCCTGTTGGACCGGAATGGTGAAGTCCACTTCCACGTGGAGCGGATCCTCCAGGAGCAACGGCGTCGCGGTTAGCGACAGCTCCTCGTGAAGTGGAGGGGTTATGCCCACTCCGAGAACTCGTGGGAGCCGATTGAACGGCTCCTGATTGACTGCCCGAAGGCTGTCGCAATCTGGGAACAGAAGCGGCGGCTGCTTCATAAGTAGTCCGGGGCTTCTTGCCCGAATGGGGTACGGACGATGAATACATTCCGTACCCGCGCTCATCGTGAGCGCTAGAAGCCGTGCGCTTCAGGATGTCCCTTGGCAGCATGCGCTTGCTGATCAAGTGGGCAAACCTCACACGAAGATCACGCTGGTCCAGGATGCGGGACAGCAGCTGATCTTCATGGGTTTCCGTAACTCCGAGGGTGAGTACTTAAGAGACTCCACCCATGGCCAGAACATGTCCTCACAAGAACTCCACGTGGGACAGCTCTCGAGCATAACCCACGGGTAACACCAAAGAGGATAAAGACCACCCCGGGTCTCGGGCTTCTTACGACAAGTCGTGAAGTCCTTGAGAGGGATGCGGTGTGGCGCGAGAAGCACACACTGAGCAGCCTCCAAGTTGTCAACGAACAACTGTTCTTTCTGAACAAGGGCACGTTCGTAGATGCCCCTAGAAGTTTGGCCGTCCACAAGGCCACGAGGAGCGATGAGAAGCTCTAGAAAGAGGTCAGCCCCAGCGCTCTCCTCGGGAGGACAATACCCTCTTGAGTTGATGGCAGCTCCCTGGCTGACGGGTGCCACCACCGAACCCCCACGCACACGCTGGGCAGATTGGAATTCCTCCTGCTGCTGGTTGAGGTCATTCGAGACCTCCCGGGCGCAGCGATAGCACCCTCCTCCTCCTCTTCTTCCTCCTTCTCCTCCTCTTCATCCGAGGAGTCGAAGATACTCTGATAGGAGTGTTGAGTCTCCTTCTCCTCGTGGAGTGGAGACTTAGAGGCTGTACGCTTCTTTGAGGGCTTGGCGCCTTCGGCTTTAGAGGCCTTAGCACGCGCAAGACCCTCGGCAAGCGAGAGACGTTTGCAAAGATTCTCTTCCTCATCGCCACCGCCTTTGGGAGTGCCCTTAGCCTTGACGGCCGGACTCTCAGCGCGCACAGACGGCCTGGGGCTGTGATCACCTTGATCACTAGCGAGCGACTGCACGCTGTCATCTTTGTGCTCACTGGGCACTTGGCTGTGCTCTCCCACAGAGCCCGCAGGAGCATCGTGCGTGCTCTCGGACTCGGCTTCGTCCTCACTGCCAGAGTTGAACTCACGTTCCACGTACCGAGGGTTCAAACGATTGTCTGAGGCCTAGGGCGACGGACTGCGGCGCTTGCTTGCTCGCTTGCCCACAGCCGTGTCACCCGAGGAACCGATCGCCTCGGAGGCCACCTGAGTAGCCTCCTTGAGTGCCGAGCCTTTGCCGTGAGGCTTAGTGCTCTTGGCTTGCGCCTTACCAGTAGCAGCCTTAAAGCGTGTCTTAGCACCGCTCTTAGCAATGCCACGAGGCTTGATTAACGGTCAAAGTGGAGACCCAGAAGAAGAGCGCACAGACTGCTGCTCGAGGCTCTAACTGTAAAGTGAGCCTCCGCCGCGCTCGCGCGGCCAAGTCGATGGTTTCGACTTTGAGAATGAGCGTTTGTGACGAACACCTCTTCATTCTGATTGGTCGGTAAACCGAACCTAAGTGGGGGAGGATGTAACGGGGTACGTAGCCCTAAGTGTACCCTGGTTACATGAAGTGTGACACTTCACACTTCAGGAGTATGACGTGTCATACTCCGGGATATTTGGTACAAAGTATTAAGGTCGTTCAAAGCCAACCATTGGTCAACGGCATTGCATTTCTATAGGTGACTTATAGTTTGTATTAAACCCAAACTTAATCTATGGTCAAGGAATATCTGGACCGGCCGCAAATCCGTCTTTCGGTGGATGAATCCGACCGGGTAGATTTCGACGAAGTCCTCCTACCGGAAGATAGTTGGAATGTGGATCTCGAAGCCGACGAGTTCGAAGTCGAGAAGATCACCGATATGAGGTCGGGGAAGCGAACTAGTTACGGACGAATTTACCGGGAATTTCTGGTGTATTGGCGTGGATATGACGAACCCAGTTGGGTAGACGAGGCATATCTGTGCTGTGGAGCATTACTCTATGATTTCTTGCGGGATCGTACGAATCGGAATTGATTTGGCGTGATGCAGTCTCATGAAGAAGAATAGAGGGGGGTCCATGGGTGTGAGCTGGTCATATCGATGGGAGAATGAAAAAAAGAGACCCCCAAAGGGGGGGGGGGCCCCCCCTTGGGGGTGGCCCCCCCAGGGGGAGAGAAAACTCGCGCGTGGGGGCGGGTCCCTTTTTTGGGGGGGGGAAAGGGGGGTCTCCCCCCCCCCGCGTGGGATCTTGGGAAAAAAAGGGGTATGTTTTTTTTTTCAAAAAAGAGAGGAGTTCTCTCCCGTCCCAAAAAAATACCGCCACCAAAGGGGGGTTTTTTTGGGGGTGTGGGGAAATATATGTTTCCAGGGGAAACCCCCCCCCAAAAGGTTTCGTTGAATCCAAGCGCGGATCCAGTTCGGATCCAGAAGTTGGTACAGATTTAGATACGAATTTGGTTTGGAGCCCAGGGCGGACCTAGCCCAGATTCAGGCGTATGTTGAAAGGGTGGATCTAGCTCAGATCCAGTGTACGCTGGAAGGCTCTGACATAGCTCCTCAATCGAACAAGAGAATGTTAGAGAATACATATTCAAGTAACGAAAAGTGGATTAAGAAAGCTTATGCAAACAGACTAAATCGACCCAGTTTCCAGCCGCTGGCTACTACTACGAGACGGATCCACGGAGACTGAAACTGGGGCGCAGCGTGAAAGAGCGGTATGGATCAGGTGGTCTGGGGCTGAACGTTGAAGAACTTGCCCGCCCGACGCTGGACCCGGTGTCCGGGATGTTGGCTGGGGGTTTTCCGAAATTGGATGCGCCAAGGCTCGACTTCGTCAAGCCCTCGCAGAGCCTCCAGTAAGTTCGTAGGTTCCGGGCGGTGGACTGGGATTTATCAAGTTGGCTTGACGAGACACGGATCCCGGAAACCACGACCCCTTATCCCCACGTCGGGGAAGGTGTAAGAAGAACGGATCCAGCAAGATATCCACGTCACACCAACCGTCTTGAATTGCCAACACGAGGATCACGAGAACTTTCTTCCAAGCCCGACCAGACTGGTGCCGCGCTGCTTGTTGAAGTTCAACAGCCATGTTAAATCCCGCAGTTGGGCACGAGAAACGGGGGAACCGATGGGAACCTTTCCATAGTGCAATCCGGTGTTTAGAAGCGAAATCTCGGAAGGCACCAACAAACAACCCGAGGCGTCCACCGACGTCACCTCGAAAGCTAACGGGATCCACTAGGGTAGTCGTCAGAATTTCCCATGGTGCAGCATTGTGCAACTCTTTCACATGGGATCTGGTGACTAACGAACCCACATACCCGGATGCCGGCATGTCATCCACTTCGCGAGGGAATATCCACTCAGTACGAAACGGCAACTCAGGGAACAGGACAGTGATTTTCATAGAAGCGATGTCTACCCGGTTCAATTTCTTTGCGGACCAAGGCTCGATAGCGTCTGCGGTGAAGGCCACAGGCGCGAGCCGACCAGGGATGAAGGTTGCATCCGGACCGAACGGGGCCACGGGAAGCATGCCTGGTAGAGAAGAGTTAGGAGGAGCGGTGACCAAGGCAGATCCAGTGGATCCACCACCGTGGGGTGACCCCTCTCCATCATCGCTGCCCGATCCATCATCACTATCGACTGGGATAGCGGATCCCGCAGTGCCGTCTCCAGATCCGAGCGCGCCAGCAACTTGCTTGGTCGGCGTCGAGTGAGATCTCCGCCGAGCTTCAGATCTGGACTGCGACAAAGCCCGCCGCATGTCTTCCTCCAAAGCATCGTCGGCGATTCAGGCCTCCTCGGAATCCTCAGGATCCTCATCATCATCGTCGGCATCATAGTCGGGGCTGAACGAATAGTGGCCCGCGGAGAGGGTACGCTTCAAAGACGAACGGATAGGAGGTCCCGAGCCGTCGGACCAATCGGATACTTCGTCCTCGTCGTCTTCCGAGCTGCCGAGTCCACAGCCGATGGGAATGGTACGGTTGACCTTCGCCTTACCGGACCCAGATCCCACCGGTCGAGATTCAGTGGAGGCTGGTCGGGAGACGGTAGACACCGCCACGGATGGTCCAGCAGTGAATCCCGACGGAGCCGAACACACGTCACAAGTATGGCCGAGAGGGGCGATAAATGAGTGTAATACATGTTGTTCATGCATTCATCCGATAGTTTGTTGACATCTTCACCAGGAACCTATACTTGTCTGGTGAGCAACAGCCAGTATAAGGCCAGTAGGGCGAGTTGGTGATAGTTGGTGAAAAGTTGGTGAATAGTTGATGAAAATCTATATTTAGACAAAAAGTGCAATACCAGTGTGATACCGGTATTGGAAAACCATATGTTTTGATGGCTTCGATCGGTCTATGTCAAAAAAGTTGGTCTACCCATGATCCGGTTGAGCGGTCGTCTCGCTAAAACTGCTCCTTAACCTTAGAAACGGGTAAACCTATTCTCCTTGTTAAATTTTAATAATGAAAGAAATCGTTATTGTAAACAGCTACTTGTGCCCACTGGAGTCAGCTAGCCTCCTGTTTCCGCTGTTGACTCTGTTGCCGACGAAGACGAAATCGAGACGCCGAGCTCCCGCGCATCGCTCTTCTCTAACCTCACCACGAGTTCTTTTGTACTGAAGTCGAAAGCCACAGGACTCCATTTGTCATCGGTTGAAGGCACGCCTGAAGCACCGCGCTACAGGAGCAACAACACACAAATAGCTCGCTGGTCAACCACCTATCCGCCCTCGAACCAGTGTGCAGACAACGCACCGTAATGGAGAAGGACCGGAATAAACTGGTGACGCTGGTACTCGTTAAACACAGGACCAGCGGCGCGACTGATGCTCTCCATGCGTTTCTCGAGCTCCCTCGTGGTCACTAGCACCCACCCCACAAAGCGCTGGTCAAAACCACAAGCACATTTAATATTTGCTCCGCCATGATTGTAGATGCAGCCTTCACCTACCTCGATGAGGTTCACACGGAGGAAAATGTCCTCGAATTCATGGCAGTTGTTCAACAGCTCGGTCAGCAGCTGCTCCTGGATCTGCTCCGCGTCCTGCCTCAGTCCGTCGGCCGCCGCACACGCCTCGTCAATCTTGAACAACGCCAGGTCGACGCGCTCGTCCAAAAGCTCCTCATAGTCCCCGCACAGAGCCTGGAACGCACGCTTCAAGTCGTCGTCCCCCATGGTGGGAAATGGTCGAGCGGATTTTTTTTTTACTTTTTTAATAAAACTGTGCGATTAGAAGTGACTGATGTCACTCGTCACTTTAGTGAGGGATCTCTTTACCTTTTGGGTGGCCATCACTGAGTTAAACTCAGAGTTTACTGTTCGCCATTGCCCACTATACAGGACAGAGCCTCTCAAAGATGACGGACTCGAACCCGCGCGACATCTCGCCGGACAAGAAGAAGGAGTGGGAGTCGTCCTCGGACTTTGCCAACTACTTTTGCACGTATGCCTTCATTTTACCATCAGAAGCAGATGCTGTCGGACGACCTGCGCATGCAGAGCTACCGCGACGCCATCTTCGAGAACCCCAACCACTTCAAGGACAAGATGTGCTCGATGATGAGATACTGATAGTGGCATCCTTCCATTGGGCAGCTCAGCTGGCGCACGTAGAGTATAGCAGTGAGAGTCCACGCATATGCGCACAGCAGGTTGCGCAGAGTGATTAAGAGCCCAACAACAGAGAACCAACATTATCGCGTTCATTGCATTCCAGGATGGAGGAGGGCGGAGCTGCCGAGAAGAGGAGAACATTCTTTTTTTGGAAAGAGAGTGGGCTACTTCCTTCTACGTGAATCCATGTTTGACTCGGTCATCGTGGCGCGCGACCGCTGGCTCAAGCCCGAGGGTGCCATGTTCCCGTCCCATGCCAGCATGTTTATTGCTCCCATGTGCAACGAGGACAACAGCAACAAGCGCTTCGCAGAATTCTCCTCGGCGATGGATTCGTGGCGAGGCTTTATCGACAACACTAAGGTTGAGACACTCATTCTTTCGAGCTTCTTCTCGTCGAGCCTCCTCTAACACTAACTGATGTTTTTTCTCCAACGGCAATTGCTGCTGTGCCTTTAG